TCGAAGCATCATAAGGGCGGTGAAAGATCACGGAGGGTGGCAGCCTCCATATGCTTATCATGTATTTTGTCTACGTCACATCGAAAGCAACTTCAATACCCGTTTTAGGAATGTGGAATTGAAGAAAACGTTGATGAAATTAGGTAATGTACGGTATAATTACTCACATTTTCAACCATTTGAAGAAAACGTTGATGAAATTCACTAACCAATGCATATGTCATGGTTTTTTGCAGGGTACACATGTTCAAAGATAAATTTCGACATTAGATACAAGGAATTTATCGAGAACAATCCTGAAGTTGCTTCATGGTTGGATGCGATTCCGAAAGGGCAATGGTGCAGGTCGTATGATGAGACAGGACGTAGGTTTGGTCATATGACAACTAACCTATCTGAGTGTGTGAATAAGGTGCTTCGTGGAGCACGAAATCTGCCTATAACTGCATTGGTCAAGATGACATTCAGTAGACTCGTTGAGTATTTCGTCAAGAGACGTGAAGGGATTGAAAAAGATATCTCACAAGGTTGGATAATTTCAAAGAAGGTTGAGGCAGCTTTGCAAAAAAATGATGAATTGGCCGACGCTTATCGTGTGAGGATATATGATAGTGAGCTGTTATTGTTTGAGGTTGAGGATGCCTACAATCAATCTACACACGAGGTCGGTGACACCATGAGAGTGGACTTAATCAATCGTACATGTCAGTGTGGTAGGTTTACAGCAAGGAGGTATCCCTGCAGTCATGTATTAGCAGTTTGCAAGGTAGCCAAGCTAAACCATCATGATTATGTGGATCATGTTTTCAAAATTCCAACCATTGCTAAAGTATATGCTGCACACTGGTTTCCTATTGGCAATGAATTGTTGATTCCATCCGTTGTTGGGCCTACTGTAATTCCGGATGCTCAGTTGGTACATGCAAAAGGAAGACCAAAGTCTTCAAGGATTCAGAATGAGATGGATTGGGTTGAGTCTCAACCCTCTAGCAGTCAGAGCAGATGTAAGCATTGCAAGCAAGTTGGACATAACATTCGTACATGTCCATTGAGACTAAGACAAGCATGATTACGTATTGTTTTTGTGTAGTACTTTGTTTTGTAATGACAATCACTTTACGTATTGTTTTGTTTCCTTGTACCCTAAACTTTATCTTGTATTAGTTATGTATTGTGTTGTTGAAATGTATTGTTGAACTGTATTCTTGTGTTGTTGAAATGTATTGTTGAAATGTATCCGTTAAGTTTAGCGAGTCACTCGTTCCGTATTGTGCAATCTGAATATCTACCATACCCATTTACCCCTTCCCCGAGTCAGTTAAGGTTATTGTATTACACATCAATTACCAAGATGCAAAAAAAATGGATTGAACAGCACCTGCTGCTGCATCTGCAACTGGTCTACCCGGGTAACTCGTAATGATATACCCGAGTACATCCTACCCGGGTAGACCAGTTCGTGGTACCCGGGTAGACCAGTTGCAGATGCTGTTTTGGCCATTTTTTTTGCATTTTGGTAATTGTTGTGTAATACCTACATACAGTATGACTTGGGGGTGGATTGATTTCGTAGAAATAGGATGCAGTAATCAAGATGTGTGCCAATGAAAGTTGAACATGAATATTAAAGTACTTTGGGTTGAATTGATTTCCAAATTAACTATGACAATATTAATGCAAGGTCCCATACTAATGCATAGAACCAACAAGTCTGAACGTGCGCAAAACGAAAATTTCATTCATTCAAATTTTGAACATCCAGTACAAAAACATCCATGCAATGTAGGTAAAGTTCCTAAATGTACCAAAATGACTACATTACATCAAACTAAATCAATGATATGAAACCCTATGGACACACTAATCCGATGGCGTGTCCTCCCCATTCTCTTCATCCGATTGTGTGTCATCCCCATTGTCATCATCCTCCTCCTCCTCCTCCTGAGTATGGGCACCCTCGCCAATTAAACCCTCCAAGCGTGAAACCCTTGTGTCCAACCGTGCAACCCTTGTGTCCATCTGGTTCCGCCACTTGCTCGTGCTCTGTCTATATCCTCTAAAGTCAGTAGTCAGATCATATATGGATGCCATGACATGATCAAGTGTGCATCCACCCTCAGGAGGAGCTGGTGGTAGCCGACTGCGGGTGGGACGTGTCGGTCTGACATCAACCTCAGCAACGCCATCATCATCGTCATCATCATCAAGTCCTACATCATAAACCATGAAAAACACATATTATAAATACCACATTAAAAAATAAACAACACAAAATTGCATAAACTCATAAAGACCAACACATCACCTGCAGGTGCATCCTCCATCTCAGCATCGTGGTGGAATGGGATCTCAGGTGGTTCTGGTGCCTTCTTCCACGTCCAGATACCCGCTCTGTTCGGTAGGATCCCACACTGCTTCAGGAGCCTCTCACCAAATGTAGCATTCCAGCCTCTGGCGGTCTTCAAGGTCTCTGTTGCCATAGGCACTCCAAATCTATGCAGAATCTTCTGCACCAGAAATGCAAAAGGCAATTCAGCCTTCTTTGACTTGGCTGCCTTCCACATCAGTATGCATATGTAATGCCTCCAGTTCACCTGCTAACTGTGAAGGAGGGCCCACAGGATGACAAAGTCCCCTTCCAGCACCTTTGAGTGATTATGCGGGCGCTGGAAAATAATATGTGTCACCACATAATGAAGAATGCGAGCAGAAACTGACAAGTTGCTAACAGGATAATGAGCAAAATGACCGGGCTCTGCGTCTGCCCTCCTAGTCTATGTAACAATGGTCTCCCGGTTATAATCACCAAATATATGATGGCTGTCTCCATCATATAGTGTTGCTCCTGTGACACCATCAAAATCGAACCCCAGTAGCTCCGTCCAGATAGGAGCAGTCATGATGATATCAATCCCGCAGACACGGGAAGTCAGCTCGCCTTGCGAGTAGCCAAGGTTCTAGTAGAAGGCTCTTACCATAACCTCCGAGTATGGGCACCGCATCTCCGCCAGGTGAAGTAAATGTGTCTGCTCAAGAAGCGGCACAATGTCAAAACGCTCTAGGTTGAAGAATGCCGAATCCAGTGATTTCGGTTCGCCGATCTTCCGGGTCATGAAAAACTTCACGAACTTCTCGTGTGAAGGTATGTCATCCTCAAACAAATATCTGAACGTCAAGTCCGGAGCCTGACTCGAAGCAGCCTGGGGCTGAGAGGATGACGACCCATCGAGACGACTCTTGGTTCTTCTCTCGGAATGGGTCACTGGCAGCTTTGAAACGCGTCGAGAGGTCATTGTGTCACACTATTAAACTGAAAAAATAACCAAAATCAGAAATTAGATACATGTTAGTGTTAGTGTTAGGGTTAGGGTTAGGGTTAGGGTTAGGGTTAGATTCAGGGTTAGGGTTAGGGTTAGGGTAAGCGTATGACATACAAATTGATAAAATAATTCGGACAGAATCAAATGATATAAACGAAAATACAATGAATCAGAACAGAAATCATAACATAATTGAAAAAACTGAAAAAAAATGCACCTTTGATCGATTTCAATCGGTAGAAGGCAGAGAGGTTGCAAGGTCCGCGAATGATGATCAGAAACAAGACGAATTGGTGCAAGATTATGCCTGAAATCGCTCAAGAAGACACTCCTCCAGCAGCTCTACTCGGGTACCCCTTTTGTGGGTTTTCGAAATGGGGCTGCTGGGGTATTTTAAAACCCTACCGTCGATGTTTACCCGGGTACACTGCTCCATACCCGGGTAAATAATTCAACCATTTTTCCAGATTCAAGAACTCTACCCGGGTACACCCCTTCATACTCGGGTAGATAAAAAGTTTCAAAAATTACCCGGGTAGGTAATGGTATACCCGGGTAGGCTTCGTGGTCAACGGTCAAACAGGGACATATTGGTGTTATGTTTGTTGGGGAGGGTAAATTTTCGAAATAGTTTTGAATGAAGGGCAATTTGATAATTAGTTATTAATTAAGGGTCATAAGGGTCAAAAAGCCTGGTAGGGAGTCTTATCCTACAGTTAGGATTTGACATAAGTTTCTCTGTCCATCCCTGATAATAAGCTTATCTATTTATTGGATTGTTCAGATATGGGTCAATATCTTATTCCATAACAATAATTAATTTTATTATTTGTTTTTAAATTAAACAAATACTTTATAATTTTTGAAAATAATATATAAATAAGTAACTAAATTTAATATAATAGTTAAATAATAATAAAAAAATGTTTATCATTTTAAATGACATAAAATTATGTCATTTTAAAAGAGATAGATATTTTATTTAAAATTTGAATTAAAAAAAAATTCGCCATAATTTTCATTTCTTATGTCTATCTCTTTCCTAAAATGATATAACTTTTTTTTTTGAGGTTACAAGGAATTGAACACAACACCCTATACTACACACACTCCTAACACACACACCCCACACCACTAGGCTAACCCTAGTGGTGCCTAAAATGATATAATTTAAGGGAAATAGTAGTCTCATGTGGTAGGAGATTACTATCTTATGCCATAGACACTTTGATAAGTGTGCTGTTACTTTCTTTTCTTTCTTTTTTTCGTTTTTAGTGGTGGGTCCCATCATCTTGTGTCTTAGCATAAGATATAATATCTTCTATAACATGAGAGTAAACAAACCCATAATTTAAATCATTTAAAATGACAAAAGATCAAATTCAATAATAATATTTGATATATTGCATATGATAAATACTGAAAAGAAAAACTCGTAATGGAGATAAAGTGAGATTGAGTGTGAGTGCGACGGATAAAACAATTTTTTGAGTCTGAATATTGGGCCCACTTTGTTGCCAAAGAATAGAAAGTCAGAGGGCTTTCAGTTTTCACTTATGACTGTGAGCGGCGAGCGCATCTAAGAAGTCTTTATCACTTTTGAATCATTTATCAACGAATGTGTTTCCCTCTGGAGTCTGGAGCTTCTTTTTTCTTCCCCAATTTCTCTCTCTCTCTCTCTCTCTCTGAATGATCATTAGGACTTGCATAACTGAATCTGATTCCTCTTTTTCTTTCAATGACCATAAACGTCAAACAGGTAATGTCTCAGTGCTCTTCTTTTCTTCCCTTCCTCTGTTTAATTTTTTCTTGTTTTCAAAAATTAAAATAAAATAAAAATATACCGATTCTTATTCTTTATTATGTGATTAGTAAAAGAAAGATGCATTTTCCAATTCACTTGTGTTGAAGAACAAACATGTCATGTTTGTGTGCGAGTGGCGTGTGTTTTGAGTGTGTGGTCTTGGGGATTGCATCCTCTCATTTTAAAATTTCATGAAATTTTTGTGTGTATTCCTCTTTTTATATGCATTAAATAAGTGGGATTCAATTATCGATGATGAAAAAAGAGATATACACAAAATTTTCACGTGATTATTATGGTGGTTTGGTGAGAGAGATACCATCTTTGAAAGATAGTTGTTACTATAATTTGGAGTATGTTGTCGATGAGTATTTATCGGTGTCGATTTTATCAATTTCTCATGCAGAAATTTGGGTGTATCGGATTTCGTAGTGGTAAAAATGACTTTGAATGCTACATCTGGAAATGCTTGCCCGTCACCAATGAAACCCACATCAAATGGTGTATTTCAGGGAGATAATCCTCTTGATTATGCACTTCCCCTGGCTATTTTACAGATATGCCTTGTTCTTGTAGTCACAAGGGGACTCGCATACCTTCTAAGACCTTTAAGGCAACCACGAGTTATTGCAGAGATTGTTGTAAGTTCCTTTTTTTTTCCCTTTAAATATTTGCTCAATCTAATGAAGTTAGGCTATGTTTTTCTTCTTTATAAATAAATATTCGTTATTTAATATTACTAAGATCTTTCTCTTTTTGGTTTTGGTTGCAAGGGAGTTCCTAGGAACTAGTGAATGATTGGCTAAGACCCACAAGGGATTGAACTTGAGATCATTTGCTTCCCAAAAAAACTGGTTGCCACTAGGTTACAAGGCATTTGGCAATTGGCATACAATAAGAGCTTATACTGTTCCATTTTTATATAATTTCATGGTCTTCAGTCTTCACTTTGTTTCACTAGTCTAAATGAGTATAATATTTAACGTGAAATTTACCATGTAGAATGCAATATGGCTTTAAGGAGACGTGCTATATTGGGTCAGAACATAACATATCGATTTTATTCTATGTTTGATTTATATTATAAATAGGACAGAACTAGATATGGGGTTAAAATGTGGTACATTTTGGTTCTACTAAAAAGGGTGGAACCAAGAAGAACAGAACAGAACAAAGTTGTTCCATCCCCGTTCCATTCTTCTCTGTCGGTATGCCAAAAGCTATCTAAACAATTCACATATTTAGAGAAATATACATGCAAAAATGTGTACATTAGAGAAATTAGAATTGCAGTTTTTGCGCAACCACTCTCTACACAGCAAGGAATTTAAACGCACATCATTAAAGCCATGTATGGTCTTACAAATTGCCTTCAGAAAAGCACAGAGATTTTTGTAACTTCTATTAGATGTGAGCTTGTACATGAAAAAGGAATGGTTATTACTGTATAATTTTTTTTTTTTGGTGGGTACAAATTAATGTATGATTTTAATATATGTAATACTGCTTATTGACAGGGAGGAATATTACTTGGGCCATCAGCACTTGGACGGAATAAAAGCTATCTGCATGCAGTTTTCCCACCAAAGAGTCTTACAGTATTAGATACTCTTGCAAACATTGGCCTTATATTCTTTCTCTTCCTAGCAGGCCTAGAGTTAGATCCTAAATCTGTGCGTCAGACTGGAAAACAAGCCTTTGGCATTGCTATGGCTGGAATAAGCTTGCCTTTTGCAATAGGAATTGGTTCATCATTCGTTCTGCATGAAACAATTAACAGAGGCGGAGATAGTACCACATTTCTTGTATTTATGGGTGTTGCTCTGTCGATAACTGCATTTCCTGTATTAGCTCGTATTTTGGCAGAGTTGAAACTTCTAACCACTAATGTTGGCAGAATGGCTATGTCAGCTGCAGCAGTTAATGATATAGCTGCCTGGATTCTGCTTGCCCTGGCTGTTGCCTTATCAGGCAAGAGCCAATCTCCACTTGTGTCCTTGTGGGTCTTCTTATCTGGGTGTGGTTTTGTAATTTGTTCAATCCTCATTGTCCCCCCAATTTTCAAATGGATGGCCCAACGATGCCATGAAGGGGAGCCGGTTGAGGAGATATACATATGTGCTACGTTAGCTGTAGTTCTAGCTGCTGGGTTTGCCACAGATGCTATTGGAATCCATGCTATGTTTGGCGCTTTTGTTATTGGAGTTTTGGTCCCAAAAGATGGTCCATTTGCCAGTGCTCTTGTGGACAAAGTAGAGGATCTTGTGTCTGGTCTGTTGCTCCCACTCTATTTTGTGTCAAGTGGATTAAAGACCGATGTAGCCACCATTCGGGGGCTGCAATCATGGGGTCTTCTGGCTTTTGTTATATTTACGGCTTCTTTTGGGAAGATTGTTGGGACTGTTGTAGTGTCTCTTTTCTGTAAAGTACCTTTTAATGAGGCTTTAATGTTGGGATTCTTAATGAATAGTAAAGGCTTGGTTGAATTAATTGTCCTCAACATCGGTAAAGATAGAAAGGTATTTGAGTTTCCTTGCATTCACTATTCTCTATAATTAGTTTAACAAGGCTATATATCATCATGATGGATATTTATAATATATGCATTTGCAGGTTTTGAATGATCAGACCTTTGCCATTATGGTTCTTATGGCTCTCTTTACTACCTTCATTACCACTCCTCTTGTCATTGCTGTGTATAAGCCCGCAAGGAAGACGGCTGATTACAAATACAGAACAATTGAAAGGAAAACTGCAAATAGCCAACTGAGGATTCTTGCCTGCTTCCATGGTGCGAGAAATATTCCATCAATGATAAATTTGATTGAGGCTTCAAGAGGAATCCAGAAGCGTGATGCACTTTGTGTGTATGCAATGCACCTTAAAGAACTTTCCGAGAGATCATCATCTATACTAATGGTTCATAAGGCAAGGAAAAATGGGTTGCCATTCTGGAATAAAGGTCAACGTGCAGATTCTAACCATGTTATTGTGGCATTTGAGGCTTACAGGCAACTAAGCCAAGTTTCTGTCCGGCCAATGATAGCAATTTCATCCATGGCTAGCATACATGAAGACATTTGTGCAACTGCTGAGAGAAAGAGAGCTGCTGTCATTATTCTTCCATTTCATAAGCATCAAAGGTTGGATGGTTCACTAGATATTACAAGAAATGATTTTCGATCGGTTAACAAAAGGGTACTTGAGTATGCTCCATGCTCAGTTGGAATTCTTGTTGATCGTGGGCTTGGTGGTACATCTCAGGTATCTGCAAGTAATGTTTCTTATTGCATTACAGTCCTTTTCTTTGGTGGTGGTGATGACCGTGAGGCCCTTGCTTATGGAGGTCGAATGGCTGAACATCCAGGCATAAGATTAGTGGTTCTTCGCTTTGTGCTGGAACATAGGATTGTAGGAGAGATAGTTAGAGTTGATGTGGGAGAGTCCTCCAGCACCAAAATAATCTCAGAAGATGAGGAGTTCCTTGCTGAATATAAGCTGAAAATAGCCAATGATGACTCCATCGTCTATGAAGAGAAAATAGTAAAAAGTGCTGCAGAAACAGTTGCTACTATCCGTGAGTTTAATTGCTGCAATCTGTTTCTCGTGGGTCGAAGACCAGCAGGTGAAGTGGCCTATGCTCTGAAAAGAAGTGAATGCCCCGAACTAGGACCCGTCGGTGGTTTCTTGGCATCACAAGATTGCCCCGCAACAGCATCGGTTTTGGTGATGCAACAGTATCACAATGGGGTGCCAATAGAATTTATCTCAGAAGTGGAAGAACAGTTATCTGATAGAGACCCAGAATCTGCTTAACGGATATGTTGTAATTTTGGTGTAGAACGCACTCACGGGGATGGGACTACAGGCCATCATTGGATTCATATGACTTCAAAATTAGGGGCTGATTGGTGCCCATGATAGTATAGGAATCAAATCTCGTAACTCTTTGTATCTCTTTCTTTTATTTTTTTTTTAGTTTCCCAAAGTATCCTCCCACTCACAGTCGAAGACTAATCTTTTCGAGGCAGGAGATCTCATTAAGTGGGCAAATCTCTTCCAACAAAGTCTTTTCCATACATACTGCCAGGAATCGAATCCTTGTCAATATATTTAAGGAACCCAACTATCTACCAACTGTGTTGGGCTTTGTTGGTTCTTTCTTTCTCCTTTTTAAGTCTATGTAATTAAATAATGATAATTCAACAAAAAATTAAAAAATTGACAACTAAGAGAAAAATATTGTCTTTTAAAATAGTTTTTTCTTTCCCCCCAGATTTGTCTTTATTTAATTTTAGAGGACGTGGAAAGAGACACGAGAAAGAAATAGCATATTTGAATCCAATAATACAAAACTTAGTAATATAAGATAAAATTTTAATATTATATCATGTTGGGCATAATATTCTATAAAATGTTATGTCAAATAAAATAATATTGTTTTATATTTAGTGAGTGTGAGTGTTTGTTTTATGGAAGGACTAAAATCTCACCCTAGGGTCATGTAATGCGTGCCAAGACCATTAGCTTGAGCCTCTTACCATGCATTGGGGGAAATATTAAGACATTTTATTCGAATTGAATCCTAAATTAAGTATAAGATACTCATCCAAAACACACGTAATCTTGAAATTGCAAAGCCCATAAGATTTTGAATATTTTTCTTTCTTTTTAAAAAAAGAAAGACACAAGGTTTAGAAAAAACAAAAGCTAACTAACAACTTTTAGAAAACTTCAACCTTCATTTGATGAGAGATGACAAGTATATTCAACTCGGTAAATTTTATTTCTAGTTTTGCCAAATATCACATTTTTAGTTTACAAATAGCCACCTATGATGAAAGAAATTGTTCCCTTTTAATGGTTGAATGAACCTTCAAAAGAGATAAAGATGGGGTTCAAATGGAATTAGTTGGGACTTGGGAGTAGGGTAGTCCCTGCTTGAGGGTGCAGTCTAACTAAAATAATTGAAGGCAATTTTATAATTGTAGCAATTAAGTTACTGGATAATGTTAATTTTTAATTTTTCTTTCATGCGACGTCAAAGAATTTAAATCTCTAGGATCTATTATGTTATATTATAAAACAAATTTTTTTTTTTATTTCCCCCTCTTCCTTGGGTCTTATTGGGCTAGCAGAGATTCAGAACTATTAGTTTGGGCCCAAAAAAGGCCCAGAAAAATAGACATGGAATTGCTGACGGTTAATTTATAAGTGCCAAGTTGCAAAAAGATAATAAGCGGGGAGAGTTGGTTAGTGAATGGTGTCGCGGGGCTTATCCAAGGAGGAACCACAGAGTGATGTGATGACACAGTAGTTGAGGAAGCAGAGAGTTAGGGACGCAAAGGGAAAGTGCCATACAAGTTAGAAATGCACTCACACTCATATAGCTTGCTACGCCCACATTCACTCCTTTCATTTCCCAAACCATTCGCTTCCTCTTCTTTTGTTCTTCTTCCTTCCACTCTCCTCTCTAAGAGTAAGAGGTACCTCCCTCCGCAATCTTCAACTTTCTCCTCTTGCATTTGCTGCCCAATTTTCCGAAATGAAACCAAATGCCGAATTCTCCTTTCAACTCCTTCCTGCAATCAACCGCCACGTTTTGGAATTGATAAGCTTCGGGGTACAGGGGTAATTTCCTTCACCTCTTTTCAACTTGATTTTACTGATTAGCGCCAATGTCGTTGGTTTCCATAGGTTAAATGAATGCTTGTGTATTTTCACACAGGAATTCACTCGTGCTTACAAGAATTGCTGCACAGCAGCACACAGTTGCAACAATTCGGGTGAATCAGTTGGTGACAACTCCAATTTGGAATGTCACTTAGCCCAACCTATTGTTTCTTCTGCTGGTGATGGTTTATCCATTGAGATTCTCAAGTTTATGCTGCTCTTTGGGTTCCTCACACTTGAAGACTCTTATCCAGCTGCTGCTGCTGCTGCTGCTTCTGATTTTACCAGTGGTTTGAATCCACTTCCTATCTTTGGTGATATCGGTGACATAAGCACAGGTTTTGCTTCAGTTAGGAAAATCTCCCTGTCACTTTTATTATCATAATCATTCTCTTTTTAAGGAAAAATGAAGCATAGCAACACATTACAATTAATAGTGGAACACGCAGCTTCTCTTTACTAACATATAATTATAGATTTTTATTTGGTATTAGTTACAGATTTGCAGTGGACTCTGTTATGCCTTTACCATTTTTAGTAAAATCAATTGAATATAAATTATTGTGCCACTCAGAGACTAATATTTGCTCCTCTTTGTGCTCTGTCACAGGCATTTCTGCTGATCTTTTTCTCTGAACTGGGAGACAAGACCTTTTTTATTGCCGTAAGTTTACATAAATCAACAGTTCATTCGTTTCCAACCAAACGCAAAACAATTGAAGAAACCAAATCGTACCATTACCAAACCATAACCACCCTTCTATTAAGTTTCATTTGACAAGTCTGCATGGTGGGATGAACGGGCCTAGCTCTGTAAATAAGTTTGTTTTCATGCATCTCTGAGCACACAGTTAATTCTGATATAATTGCACCATACTTTCTCGAGTGTATACTGATATAAGTCATATACCTAACTGTAGACCACAATGTTGACTTTGGTTTTAACTACTTAATTTTGTGAATGTTCTTGGAGAGAGAGTCTTATCCATTTTCCCCTTTTTCTAGAAAAGAGACTAAAAAGTAAGAGATTTATGGTGTTCAAGGATAAATATATTCACCTATACCATCAAAGCAAATGTTATCACCCCATTGATTTAGGTATTTGATGTCTTATGCAGGCACTGTTAGCAGCTAGGAATTCCGCTGGTGTTGTTTTCATTGGGACATTTGGCGCACTTGCGTAAGTTTTAATATTTCATGGTGATTTAGATACCCTTGCAGTTTATACTTCGTTTTGATAGAGTTTGACATGATTACTCACCATGTGTGGTAAGTTTATGCAAGCAATTACGGTGAAAATATTTGCACAAGCTAGAATAATGAAATTGGCTAATCAAAATCCTCCACAGAGTTATCTAGTGGACAATATCAGTATACTTTATGGTTTTCTTAACATGCCTTCTGGAAAGACCAAGTGGTAAATTTGTACAGAATTCTTCAGGCCTATATTTTGTTTAGAAGTCAAATAAACATGTGAGCATTTACATTGAATGCCACTTTAATAAATGTCAATTATTTTATATAATGTATACATCTTTCACTTATATACTAATCTTCAAATCATTAATATTTTTCAATTTATTTGTATTCTCAGGGCAATGACTCTCATATCTGTTGTTCTTGGACGAACTTTTCATTATGTTGATGAAATCTTGCCGTTCAGGTTTTCTTTATTTCCTAGCTTTATTTATTAACTCTGTGATATGACTTGGTCACACTGTAAGAGTGAAAATAGTCTTAGTAATTCTTCACATGTTACGAAGTACAATGTTTTCGTGAATTCATGCTAATCACTATATAGGCTGCGGATTTTGAAAATGACTCACAATGTTGTATTTCAACTCATATGAGCCTTTGACCAATCACAAAACAGTTTTATCATAATACAAAACAAATTTCTGTTGAACACATTTTTTATCATTTGCAACAACTTAATTGATTACTTTGTGATGCATAGACTAAGTTCCTTGTTTTTGTATAAATATAATTACTTTCTTCTATGCCTTTCTTTGGGTTTAGTTTTTGAAACCACGTAACTTGAAAGCGTAATCTGAGTATTTGACTAATACTTTTATAGGAAAGTACTACCAGTTAGAATTAAGAATGACTTCTCAAAAGCTTCATCTAATAGGTTACCTTGAACAGGTTTGGAGAAACTGATTTACCTGTTGATGACATTGCTGCTGTTTGCCTATTGGTAAACATCACCTCTGTGTTAGTTAACATTGTGTTTATTATGGAACACATATTTATCCTTTGCATTTTCCGTTTTTAGATGAAACACGCTGTTAAGTGATACTAAATTGACTTCAGGTTTACTTTGGGGTCTCTACCCTGCTGGATGCTTCCTCTAGTGATGGCCAAAAATCGGATGATGAGCAGAAGGAGGTAATATTTGGCATTTATTTATCATCTGTTACAGAATAATGTGCTGGATACACGAATACTGGTTTAAGCCCTGTTTTTATTCTTCACTTTGAAATGGTTCACGATGTTTTCTAAGATTCCTAAGATTCAATGGTTCATACCTTAACCAGGCAGAGCTTGCAGTTTCAGAATTTTCTGGAAATGGTGCTGGGATACTAGCTGCTGCTAGCACAGTCGTGAGCACTTTTTTCTTAGTTTTTGTTGCTGAATGGGGTGATAAATCATTTTTCTCCACAATTGGTGAGTGCTGAAGTTAGAATTGTTGGTTCATAAAACGTACTGTTATGTATGGACCACTTATGATTAGAACAGATCACTTTTCTCATTGTCAATTTCAAAAAATTTATGGTTTTACCATTCTTTGGTTTGAAATATAGGAGAAAAAAACATCTTGTACCAAAATTCCTATTAAACAAACTCATGCGTAATTAAGTAAATAAATTTATTTATATTGATTGAAAAATCTTGATGCTAAGTTGTCATGTTATTCTGCACGTTGTTATGTGCTGAACTTACCTTCAAAGATCCTGAACTATTTTTCCCCACTACTATTCAGCCCTTGCCGCAGCTTCTTCACCCCTTGGAGTAATAGCTGGAGCACTGGCCGGTCATGGTGTTGCAACTTTGGTAACTCTTTTTTTTTCAGTAATAATTGATGCAACTTCTGAGTATGGGGATCTGCTCTTTTAAAGTAACAATAAGTGCATTGTTTAAAATTAACATAACAGTATTACTTTAAGCTTCCAGTGCAGTATATACAAATTGGATTTGCCAAAATCTCGAACTGTAAGTGAAACCAGAAAAAAAAGGAAATATATAAATTAACAATTGGTAAATATAGGCCCAGTGCAAAATGAGTTGCTGAAATTACTTGTACCCATTTTCTTGGTGCTTTTTAAACAATTACTTTCGAGATGGCTTTTATCAATTTATTTTAAAACATCTTATTCAATAGTTTGAAAACAGCTTCAAGTTATAAGCGATTTTTCTTTTTTTTTCTCCTGCTGAGCTAAAAAAAATAAAGCTGAAAATAAATCTGTCTGAAGAGGACCTTAACTATGTCATGAAAGAGTTTAATGCGTGTAATTTATATTCCTTGAACCAACTATCTTTGCTCTTTATATCACAAATCTGTATATATTTTTGGGCTTTAATATTCTCAATGTATCTTTTATATACAGCTAGCTGTCCTTGGGGGCTCTCTACTGGGTACATTGTTGTCAGAGAAGGTAACTTCTGGCTTGTAGCATCTATTCCTGATATGCTATGTTTTGTTAGTTCCAACTTCATGGTTCTCTCCCTCGCACAAATGGACCGGATTTCATAAATTTGGAACTCTACATATTGATGCTCTATTATCTCAATTAGATTTATTAACCAATTTAACCGTAAGGGTTTAATTTTAGGCAAAATAATAGAAGTTGAGATATGATCTTCAAAATGATTTTCTTGAGTTAGTGCTACGTATAGAATCTGGCTCGTGGAACTCTTCTGTGGATGATTTTCTGCCCGAGAATTCCAGTATTAAGTACATATGGCTGTTATGAACAGCAGCAACATGTTAGACGTTCCTCTTGAGGGGCCTAATTGGGAACGAACATGTTCTCTCAACCAGATAATGGATGACCAAGTGAAGTCTTCCTTCTGGTTGGGCGACTAAGAGCACCTTATTATAGGCATACGAAATTTTTGATGCTCTTCCAACTACACTTTATATTCTGTGGATAGTGCACTATGGTTGAAGCATGGACCTACATTTGTGCATCTGTTTTGGAATATTACATTATGGAGATATAAACTAAACAGTTTTTTCGTTCCTTTTGAAGGTTATTGCCTACATCGGAGGTGTTCTCTTTCTCGTCTTTGCTGCAGTAACCTTATTTGAAATCGTGCAATAGAGGTTAAAAGAATTGCAATATAAGCTCAGTACAAAGTCATCAAGAACGCATTGACCTCCAGAGTTTTAGTCGCACTTCCTTTATTAAATTTTTTTAATGTGGCCTCCCAAAAAAAGAAGAAGAAAAATCACTGTATCTTTTTTACAAATAGTTGATCTACCTTTTATTGCGATCCTCATGAATTAGGTCATGTTAGTGCTACTTGCATTAAAATTTTAATTACTTAAATTATGTGACATATTTCTTAATCGCTACTGTAAAAACATACAATTTTTTAAATAAACAATGGGGACAAAGGCCCAATTAGTTTGCAAGACAATCAAAATGAAAAAAACTGGAATCGACCAACAGAGGTAGAGACAAGAAAGAAGCGACTGTAGAAGACGAAACCCCACAGGAAGGGAATGACTATGCTTTGGCCGGAGGTCTGCGCAACTATTTGTCTATTTCCTTCTCTTTTCTTATCTGTACATATTATAGGCACCCAAAATTTATTCAAAAATGGAGCACTGGAAAGCACATCTGAAATCTTGAATCTGCTTAATTGATGACTCTCCTATGGCCCAAGTCGTAAGCAATACGAGCCCCAGATAAACTCCACAGTTCTGCTATTGTATTAGATCAGGAGCCGAAATTAGCCATAAAATCAGTGATACTTTTCAATTTTACAGAGTATAAAAACTTTTCAATTGAGATTGAATTCAAACTCTTTAGATAAACTTTTTAGGTCTTTTATTTTAGGGCCTTAATTTCACGTATGTGCACCAATTCGCTCTAGTAAGAGTATGGTTGGGGAGGATATGCCAAATAGGGGGTGTCAAAGGTTACGTTTGGAATAAGTCTCTTGTTTAATTAAGTACCTACCAAGTTACTATCGTTGATATAACAGTTAGATTAATCTCTTTACATAATGCTTATTTATCATAGTTAAATTGTGAATGGTTAAACAACACATAATGACATGATAATATAAAAAAATGAATTTTATAAGAGTTATGTTGTAGGAAAAGTGATTGTGTAATGTTATAGAGATTCGTTTTGCGTGTCATAATTTCTTTTTTTTTTGTTTTTCTTCAAAAAGTGTGGACCTCACAAAATGTTGTGTGTGTAGAAAAATTTGTTGTATCATGTCAAATGACAAATGCAAATCCTTAAAAAAAATATCCCATTTGCTTTATCTGGTTATCCCAAATTTACACATGGACCATAGAAAACAGTGGAAAAAAAGAAAAAAAGAAAAGAAAGCTTTGCATATGCATGTGAGCTAAAAGTGTTGGGAAAAGTTGGCAGACGTGTGGTAGTGCCTCGCCCATCCATAAGGTGATCTGAGTCGGAGAATCAGAATTCAGAACGTGCGAAAAGTGATAATTATGCAGTGGACAAACATTTTCCGTCTATAGCTCTCCCCTCCCCCTGGCCCTTCCCCACATAAAACCTTTTTTCTCCACTAGTTCTATGATATGTCTTTTGATGATTTATTTATATATATATATATATATATATATATATATATATTTCTAAAACATCTACCTTGTCACTTTTTATTTTACACTTGAAAATCCACATTAAAGCTACGCCTAATTATCAATATACTAGTTATTGATTACTATTGTATGGTGGTCAATTAACCATATGATAAACACTAATAGCACAAATAACTAATACGTAAGCAACCAAGTATATATTTGAGGCGTAAATATAACATTTTTCTATATTGCAGTGAAACGATATATTTACCAAACTATCGTACCTCAATTGATTCACTTATCGTATCAAATTAAATCAAAGACAAATTATTCACGCAAAACTAAATAATTTCCAAGGATTTTACCTTCTAATCTGTAAAACCACAAATTCCTTCAGAAGTTTATGTGACGCTATTTGACCATTTTACTCCTCATTAATTAATTAATAACTATTTTATTCCTGATTCGAAACTATCTACCAATTTGTCCCTCTTTAATCGACTACTTTGCATTTTTAATCGACTAAATGGTTGTTAGGAGATTTAATCGACTAAATCTCCTTACTTAATCGATTAAAAAATCATACTGACTTGTTTTCTTTTGTTGTCTGTTGGGAGATTTAGTCAACTAAATAGGGAGATTTAGTCGATTAAATCTCTCAACAGTCATTTTTGCATGTTTTGGCCATTTAGTCGATTAAAAATGCAAGGTAGTCGATTAAAGGGGGGCAAATTAGTAGATAGTTTCGAATCAGGGGCAAAATGATTATTAATTAATTAATAAGGGGCAAAAGGATGAAAAAGCCGTTTATGTGACTATCAAACATCAACAGTGTAAACTACGTGACTGTTTTTCGTGAATAATTTTTATTTTTGATTATGTTTGGTTTGAGCGATGACAAAAGGTGTTTAGTTTGTTTTATATCATTTTTTTAAATATTAGAAAAGAAATAATGAAAATAAAGACAGGTTATTTTTATATAAATAAAAAAATAAAAAATATTACATTCATTTTTTGTTATTAATACACTAGTATCATAATATCATTGATTCACATATCTTAAAAATTAAAATCATTAAATAAAAAAATTAACCATCGAGAATATAACTTATATTTACATAATGGAAAAAATATTCTATTTTTGCGCACTAAAATCATTGATAACTACAGTATATTTTTGCGTGGGGTCTAACAGAAGGGAAGGGTGCGAGACGAGCCGCTACGTATTCGGCAAAGGCCAAGTTGACGTGAGAGGAAGAGAATGGAGAAAAGTTAACATAGACCCGGTGCACCATAATTCAGTGTTCCATTTTTTAAAATAAGAAATTTTTTATGACACTTTTATCCCTATCCTTTTAGGTATTTCCTTCCATGTCCTAGTTTTTTTCTATTTTTAGAAAAAGGTCCATTGTACCGGGTGCATAGTAACTTTTCTCAGGAGAATGGTGCATCTGTTCCTTCTTTCAGTTGCCATCTCGTTTCGCCACGCCTACTCAAGGCCCAACTCCTCAAATCTCAAATATCCAATTCCAAATCCATCCATGCCCTTTTTATCTCATTGAATTCTTTATTTTAAATTAGGGTTATATTTTTAAGGGTTTGATTTTTTCATGTTGCATGAGAATTCTCATATTGTGGCTCAATTAGTGGTGGACTCCATATTTATTAAAAAAAGGAAAAGAAAAGAAATATTTTGCATGCAAATTAAAAGATCACACCATGAGAATTAAATCCTCATGCAACATGAGAAAATATTTTTCCTATTTTTAATTAGGGTAGTTTATATTAATCTTAAAACAGTTTTCTATTGTTTAACAATGTATATAATTTATTTAAGTGCATACCGACTGTTTTTAAGTGCATATTCCGTATAAGATTATTTGTCACGGTTATTTTAATTAAAATTAGTATTTTTATTTAATATTCACTTTCTTCCATTATAATTTTTGTTTTTATATCATAAAACATAATAATTTTAATTAAAATAACACAAATCTACCTCCTTTAAAAGGATAAACACGAATCCCTAAGATTAATTGACCAATCTACTATTATTTTACAATTTATTTATTAATCTATTTTATTTTAATAAAAGTTCATCACTTTGAACCAGGTTTATCCATCAAATGTAACATATATATTATATAATTAAAACATGTCGTGTTTGTGGGATCTATCATGATTAAAAGTGATTAACTTTAACAAAAAATTATAACTTAATAAATAATTAAAAAAAATATTAAATAATTTTAAAATAAGGATATATTCATTGTTCCCCAATTTAGAAGCTGGACTGGATTTGGCGAGACTTATAAATCATGATTCCATTGATTCAATCAGTTGTATTAATAATTTTAAACGTTATGAAAATTAATCAACATTCATACAATTGATTAACAGTTCAACTAGTCTGATTCATTGTTTGGATAGTTACTTCCCATTCATGGTATATGGAGCCAAATTGCAGTATTATTTTTTATGGTTGATTTTTTCTAGAGTGAATGTAGATAATTTATTTACATTGAATCTAAAATGATATCGTTTTGAAACAGAAATCAAGGTATTTTTGTAATTATAATTTATTTCAGGGACATAATAGTCATTTCCATTATAATTTTTTAATTTTTCAATCGAAAATGATGTCATTTTAGGAGCGAAGGTAGATAATTTATCTACATTCCCTTTAGAAACATTAAAGCCTATTTTTTATTAGTAAAATGCTTCAACGGTTGATTAGATTTTTTTTAATTTTTTTTTGTATACAAACAACGGTTTATTAGATGATCTATATTCCCATGCCTCCATTTAAATTCTACTTTAAAATTTAACAAGGAAAGGATAAATTATTCTATTTATATTTTTTTATGGCTACTTTATAGTTTTATTTACTGATCTTCAACACCATTATATCATAATCTTAAAATGAGAGAAATAATAAAAATTAATATAAATTCTGATATAATAATATTAAAAATTGTTAGGTAACATAAGCATGAAAAAAATAGGTAATATAATCCATTCCAATAAACAATGATTGAAAAGTTGTATTAAACCTAGGAAGTTAAATTTGGTTCACATATATCAAGAATTAAGATTATTGTTTTCACTTATAAAAAAAAATTATTGTTTTCACCTTTGTAGTTAAATTAAAAATATTGTAATTTAATAAATATAACAATAAAATAGTTAATTGAACTAGTTTCCCAATGAGTGTGCTTCAGTTGGAACCTTGTGCTGATTAGAGAAAGAATTTTAGTTGGATTTTTATCAAATAAATCTTTAGCGAGGAATAAAAAAACTTTAACTTACTCAAAATTAATTTCATAACTAACTTAAAAAATTAAAATTTGTGAGAATAAGAAATCAACTCGTCAGAAGAAGAAGATAAATAAGAACGATTAAGAAAAATAGCCCCTCCTTTATCGTGCAGGCCTGTACTCTTTAAATTTACCAATTTTGTTATTTACACAAACAATAACCTTTAGATTTTACAAAACTGTCACCAGCATATTAATATTTTTGTCCGTTCATTTTTTTCCTGTCTACGGGAACCATCTTATTCCCTTTTCTTAACTCTCTCTTGTTTTTCTATTTGACTCATAGAAAGGTACATGCATGCCATTTCTAATGTGTTAGAAATTAAGTGTGTGTACGACAAAATTTCCATGTACTATTTTTTTTTTCTAGTGGAGGATAAAAATATTAGAAATAACATTTAATAAATTCAGTTTAAATATAAACCGGTAATTTCGAAACATAAATTAATAAAATATTTTTTTTCTAATACAATATTTATTAAATACATATATCATAGAATATATTATTAAAATTATATATATGTTTCCAAAATATATATATATATATATATATATATATTCTCTTCATGTGTGAGAATAAAAATAAATTATGTTATTAATAATTTTATTTTTATCTATTAAACACATAAATAAAAAATTATTTTACACTGTGCTTGTCATGCCAACTTAAGTATGTGTTTCTCCTCTCCACTCCACTAAAGTCTTAATATAAGGATCTATTCCGAATAAGATTAATCTCAAAGATTAAGATATTAAAATAAAAATAAAAAAATGCCCCGTTGTCTGAACCGGCAAGTGGAAACACACTCCAAAAAAATGTCTTTAAATTAATGCTCTCGTATTCGCTCGTCACTGTCTTTCTCTTGTGTCGCCCTCGCTCTGCTTCCTTCTATTTTTTTAATCTCATATAATTCAATCTTTCAAAACCCTACAATCGTTTCCCAAGCTCGGCCTTCTTCACCCAAACAACATAATCAATTCAAAGAGAGGGATTAGCTATTAAATCTATCCAGGATCTCCGGTATTAAATCTTAAATTCCTATCTAATTTGTCGTTGAACGAATTCATCTGCAACGCTATGCTTTAATGTTTTTTTCAAGTCAATCATCTATGTAATTTTTTTTTTTATTTGGTAGCTGGAATTGGAGCCCTGAATTGATATTGATTGTGTTCTTCTTCTCAGCTCAGCCTAAAACGGTTTTTTTTTTTTTTTTTTTTTTTTTTTTTTGTGTGTGTTGACCGAAAGATTCTAGCCTATAAATTGCCGAAGTTGAAGAGGGATCCCCGCTTTTCATTTTCCCTGCAATTTCCAAGTAGAAAGGCAATATTTCGTGTTAATTCAAATTCTGTGTCTGTCTTGTTTGTTTTGTTTAACGGTCTAGTCTCCTGTTTCATGTTGGTTGGATCATGCGTGCAGGACTTAATGTTTTAGTTGGTTTGTTTCCTCGTCTTCGTCTTACATGTAAAACAGTTGAGATATCATTGAGGTTAAGAGTCAGTTGTGTTAGTGTTAGCTCGTTTTTCTCCGTTTGGTTGGTTTTAATCTGTTTGAAAACTGTAATTTGATTTGGTAGTTCAGAAGTACAAAGAGTGTGGGGGTGAAAAAGGACAATATTTTTTTTAAGGAAATAAAACTAATCTCTTTCTCCAGTGCTTGTGGTCAAATAAGTTACTATGTAACTGTGTTATTTCCCTTGTGCTCAGTGTCGGAGAGACTATCGAAGTTCAAAGATGTTCTGCTCATGTTTTGGCTTGTCGGAGGAGAGATACTATTACATTTAATTTCCAGAGATTAATTACAAATGTCTTTCTGTTAAAATATTAACTTCTGTCCTCTAAAATAATGGACCCTGGCCTTACTAAAAATCAAAAGGGGGAACACGCATTCAACATTAATTCACTGGTTTTTATCTAGGTTTTCTGTCCTATTTATTGAGATTTCTTCATCAAATTCAATCATGTTTTGGGGGTTACCTGTCTCGTAATTTGTTGAACTGCTGAGTGTTATTGATAAAAATATTAGCTTAAATTATTGTATCTTATTGTATCAAGGAGTCTTCTTTTTATATTTAATATGTTCTTTTTCTTTTTGACACCATCTATGTAAATGTGTTCCTGTTACAAATGGAGTAGATATGAACACGAAAAAGGTTGCTCCTTTTTCCTTTTTTTTTTTTTTTTAAAAAAAAAATGATGCTGAAATATGTCAAAATGTGATTGCAATCACTTTAATTCTGAAGGAAGTTTCAGTGCTGACCTTATGGTATGCCATGAACAGGATGATTGATTTCGCTGCTGGGTTTTGGAAAGATGCAGATGTTGTTGAATTAATGTGCACTTACAACAGCTGATAAACTCAACATCAGTTTAATCTTCTATTATCTTAGATGGATCGACATGACACTTCAGGATTTGTCAGCGGGGGGTGTGTTATATTCTTGTAGATGCATCTAACCCTAATTTTGGAGATATACAACTCTTTTTTATGTGGAAGTCAGCCGGCTGTTCTGTTGAGATTTATAGATAGGTTTAGATTGTTACTGCTATTGTTTCATGGACGCAATGTTCCAGAACTTGACTTTCGCAGCTAATCATTCTGCAAATGCATTCAAGATTTTGGGCAAATCTATGCAAGTTGAAGGAAGAGGAGCCGATTATAGTACAGATACTATCTTACGACTTGATTCCCCTGGTTCTTCAATTTCCTATATGCTCTCCTCTAAGGGAACAAAAAGGAAGTGGGATTTAATTGATGGATGCATTGGTAAGAGAGATGGCTCTTCTTTGTCTCTTGGGCTTGGATGTTCAACAAGTTCCTCAGACAGCAAGGGGAGTTCAGCTACTGCTTGTACTGCTATGTCTTCAGCCAAAGAGATTGATGAGGAATCGTCTATGGATATTGAACTGGACTTTACACTTCATCTTGGCTATGAGAAGGTACAGTGCCTGAAAAAACCTTCTAGTTCAAATTTGAAGACATTTGAGTCGAAGCCCAAGGTTGATTTGGAGTTGAGCCTTTCCAATGGGCCCTCTGAATCTGATATTACTAGTGTTCATCTAAGTCCCTCCCAGGACTCACCTCTTCAATTGAACACGGAGATACCATTAGTATTCAGCAGGACACCAAATACAGATGAGGGATCAACTTCATGTGGTTGGAGATCAGGGCCTGTTTTCCCATTGTTAAGGACTGCACTTAATACAAACACTGGTGTTATGTTAAACCAGGCTGCCAAAAAGTTTGATCATAATCCCGTTGTTCTGGATCTCCCATCAACCAGATCAAAAAGTTCAGTCACCTGTACTTCTGCGCTAACACAACAGCAACAACCACCACATCGCAACAGTAATTCTAAGACATGTCAAATTGAGGGCTGTGGAAAGGGAGCCAGAGGTGCTTCTGGACGTTGTATATCTCATGGTGGTGGTCGGAGGTGTCAGAAGCATGACTGCCATAAAGGAGCTGAAGGTCGGACTGTGTACTGCAAGGCTCATGGAGGTGGCAGGCGATGTGAATATCTTGGTTGCACTAAGAGTGCAGAAGGACGTACAGATTTCTGTATTGCCCATGGTGGTGGCCAGAGATGCAGTCATGAGGGTTGTATCCGAGCTGCCAGAGGGAAATCCGGATTGTGTATTCGGCATGGTGGTGGCAAGAGATGTCAGAGAGAAAATTGTACTAAGAGTGCGGAAGGCCTATCAGGTCTTTGCATCTCACATGGTGGGGGGCGTCGATGTCAAGCTTCTGGATGCACAAAAGGGGCACAGGGGAGCACCATGTTCTGCAAAGCACATGGTGGGGGGAAACGGTGTATAGCACCAGGGTGCACCAAGGGTGCGGAGGGGACAACGCCCTTTTGCAAGGGCCATGGTGGAGGAAAACGCTGTGCATACCAGGGTAGTGGAATTTGTGCTAAAAGTGTGCATGGAGGTACCGACTTCTGTGTGGCACATGGCGGTGGAAAGAGGTGTGTTGTACCTGACTGCACGAAGAGTGCTAGAGGACGGACTAATTATTGTGTCCGTCATGGGGGAGGCAAGAGATGCAAGTTTGAAGGGTGTGGAAAGAGTGCACAAGGTAGCACTGACTTTTGCAAGGCACATGGGGGAGGAAAGAGATGCTCTTGGGGCCATCCTGGGTCTGAAAATAGCAAACAACAGGGTGGTCCTTGTAATTCATTTGCAAGGGGGAAGACAGGTCTGTGTCAACATCATAGTGGGCTACTGCAGGATAACAGAGTTCGTGGAGGTGTATCCTTGGGATCAGTTGTTCAGAGTACTCATGCTTGCAAACCAGATGAACTGAAGCAGATACACATTCACAAAGACATGGATGTGGATATGATGAAAATGGATAATAGCCCAGGCCCAGCTTGTAAAATAACTTGTTCTGATTTTAAACTTAGTGAAGTTGCTAGTACTCATGTCCCAGCTGGGGAAGATGACCACGCACCAGTATCAGTTGCTGTTCCTGAAGGCAGGGTGCATGGTGGGAGTCTAATGGCAATGCTGAAGGGGAGTTCTGGCCTTGGTTCAAGCAGCGGGAGAGGCCTAGTTAGTGATCCATCTGAACCAATTAAAGCTTGCATTGTGCCCCACAGTTGGATTTGAAGCTAGTTATTATTGCTTTTGCTGTCATGCTCTCCCTTGGTTGTAAATTATATCAGCATGTTTACTTCCTTCGATGTTCGATTGTTGATGATTAGAGTCATTCTCTGATTGCATTCATCCCTTAAAATCGAGAGATTACGTAAGTTGTTCGACATTCTCATGGAGAGGCTATCAAAGCAGCTCATTGTACTTTGATTAGGTAATTGGTGTTTTCTTTCTTTCCTCATTCCTCCCCCATCTGTAAATATTATAATCTGATAAAATATCTAGCAGGTTGTGACTGCAGGTCTGTTAGTGTGCCTTGTATATGTTGTTATAGCGCTTATGTTATTTTAGTTCATGGTTATTCTTTGGTAACTGCTTGACAGTCTACCTAGGCTGTGGTTCCTCCCCTTTGACAATTTCTATTGTTATCATATATTCTAATAAGATTGTGTTGTTTGTTTTCTGTGTTTTCCTGTAATTCCCTTGAGATAAGTTTTTGTTGTTTAATTCTTAAGTTAATCACTTTTTTTAAGCGGAAAATGAAAGTTATTTGTAATTGTACTGTTGGGGGTACATTACGATATTAAGATCAGCAATGTGACTTGGGACCACCTCTAGATGCACCTATATATAAGTAAAATTGCCTGACAAACATAAATGGCATTGTTAATTGATAATATTTATCTGACATATACATTAATATGCTTTAATTTAAAATTTTCATCCATGTGTGATGTATAGATTCACCAATAGAATTTAGGGTCTATTTGGTGTACTAGATAAGACTGATAGGATGGGATAGTTTATCATATCCTATCCTTATCATATGTTTGGTGATCCAATGGGATAGGATAACCTTATCAGGTTCATTCGTTTTATCCTATTGACAACCTGATAAACTATCTTGAGGGGGACCATGGGTTACAATCCTAACGGATAGGATAAGAAAAAATAAAAAAATTTATTCCAAGATAGCCCCTTGCTTCCTCCTCTACCCTGGTCAACTCCCACGCCAACCTTGTCACCGAACAGTCTCGGTCACCATTGACGGGCTCCGCTTCCGGTTAGCCCGGCCACTAGAACACCTCTCCGGTGTTGGAAACATCTTTGGAAAATGGCACCATTTCACACCCACTACATCTTTGGAGATGGAGACATTGCCGACAACATCGACGATGAAATGAGGAGGGAGATCAAAGGGCATTCAGACCTCGAAGCATTTCTATGTCATGGCCTTCTTCACTTCCCCGTTGCTTGGCTTTACGTCGACGGCAGGTTTCTCTCTCTCTCCCCTCATTTTTCAGTTTCATTTTCACTTTTTAAATTGTTTCTACAAATTGCATTTGGATCCGATTCTTCTTAATTTCTGCTATTCGTTTTGAACTGCTGTTGGAAACATTAACGGATTTGGTCCTTTTTTTGTTTTGTTTTGTTTTGATTTGGGAGTGGTTAGGTTATGGAAGGATGCAGAGATCCGAATTTCACTTGCTAGTCTTCTGAAGAAGAATTCAGCTCAGGTTTTTTTAAAAAAATAAAAATAAAAATCGAAGTCCTTTCTTTTCTTTCATTTTTAGCTTCTGATTTGTTGCTACAGGTAGAATCCTTATGATATATGAACTTACTGCCTGTGAAACTAAGGTCTAATTTGTCTTTGAGGGTTCAGTAGAATATGTGTTTATATGATGGTGTTTGTTCATATACTCTCTTAACAGGTTAGTCCTATTAAATATGGCCATGTGCTGCTGATTCATTGTATTTTCGAGTGTTTGCCCCAAAGGATTGATTCAAGGATATGTGAGCTCTGGAAGAGATGTGAGCTGTTATATGTGTTCATTTGCCTGTTAGTAAGGGTGGAACTAGTATCTATGGTTCTAATTTTAAAGATGAGAGTTTTGCCTGTATGTCTCTATTGCTGGTTGGATAGTAATATTTAGTTCTAATTTTTTAATAGTGATTGGTATTCAAAGTTCAGCTTCAATCATTGTTCCAATATTAAATAGTTTAGTTAATCTTCTGACATTTCTAGTTTCAACACTTTCCTTGCAGTGAAGCATATTGGTCCTAGAGTTTTGAGCATGGCAAATGCGGGTCCTAATACCAAATGGTAGTCAGTTCTTTAGGAGCTGATGATCAACCAGATATCTTCAGCTGGGACAACAAATATGCTGGTGCACGTCCTTCTCTCAAGGGTGAATTGCTCATGTGCCAGCATTGAAAAATATGAAGAGCCAATTTGTTTTTCTGATTCATTGGGTTTCCATTATCCTTTTTGATTGGCAGAGAGCATTACTGAATGGTGATAAGAAACAAGCTGAGAATTTCATGTGCAAGATCTTGCCCAACTCTCCCTTTTTGGCTGAATAACTATAATTTGATGCTGATGTCTTTAGTATTGTCCAAGGTGTTTCTGTGGTTTGGCAGAAGCAACAAGTTATTGATAACTAATCAGCCTTTAGACTAGTGAGGTTGCCAAGGCATTCTCAGTTATATTCATGGGGGAAGGATTCCCATGTTCAAATTTGTATTGATTTTCTCATTTTCTGGTGAGATTATGTGAGAAATAGGTCTTATGTAAGATTTAGGGAAAGTACTGAAATGAAAGGCTTCTGGCCTTTGTGGAAAGGTATTTATCCTTCCTAGAAAAAACGTTTTACTTAAGTGTATTGGCATTTGGCAATTCAGTAAGTTATCATAAACTTGTTTGATAATTTAGAAGGGTATTACATCTCTTATGTCACAGGAGATTTTCGAATTTTGCAGCAGATAGATACACAGGGGAGTCCACACTTTTACAAAAACAAATAGAAAATTGAAACACTCATCTCGATGTCTCAGCGGTAGGAGAGATGTTTTTCCTGTGAAATGAGAATTGTAAACCCCAATTTAGAATCCAACTTAACAGTCAATTTAGTAGATCTTCGGGATGCCCTTTCATGCTTTTTGCATTATATTTTTCCTGGCCTCTGTTGACTCATTAAACTTGTTTCCTAATTTGGTGGTAAGTTTTATACTCTGAAGTATTTATTATGCTTGCATATTTTAATTTAATTCTTGATTATGCATGGCATGGATGCTGTGCTGTATCTGTAACAATGAGTCTAGGACCATGACTGTTTTATCAAGTACTCATTCCTTCGGGAGAATAATGTGGATCTTACAGATGTAAAGGTAAAAGATGACTTTGCTGCATTACAAGATAGCATATGCCAATCTAATGCAAACTTTCATTCATCATTTACATGACAGGAGAAATTTAAACATCTAGATTAACGTAAACCCACTCTCACATGATTATTATTATCTCATACTAGTTTGCTTGGGATAGATATTTATAGATAGCTGCTAACTTTAGTCATGAAATCATGCTTAAAGAGCTACCTGACTTGAGAAATGGGGATTCTAATGCTGATGCAAACTCTCAAACACCCTTGTCAAGATTGTCCAGAAGACTAGCATAAAAAATAGCTTAGACTTGAAATACCAAAAAGAGGCAGTGTGTTGGACATTTTTGGAGAGCAAGTGCATCCTCCAAATTGCCAATCCCCAAATGTAATTTCAGAAAGTGGTTATGAAACAGCAGAAGAATCATTTATTGATAAGGAGGATTTCATGGTTTCTAAATCAAACTTGTTTGTTTATATGAACAAAATTTGATTTAAATTTACGTGACGAGGTTGATTTTCATGTATTATAATATATATCTTTTTTTTTTTAAAAGTGTTTTAGAAATTTTCAATAATTAAAAATAGAAGTTAATGTATAAATAAGTTAAAAGAGAAAAAATTAAAAAGTATATGACTTTATGCTATAAATGATATTTTCGTCTATTTATATCATATTTTGACGTTATTTGGTTGACTTTAAACACGTGATAGGATAATATAATTCTATCAGACTGTCTATCCAGTGTACATCAAATATATGATAGGGTATGAGTTTATCATGTCCATATCATATTTCATTCTTATCCGATCCTCCTATCGTGTCTTATCCACCAAATGAGTCCTTAAAGTATTGGTGTAAGTGTAATGTTTATATTTACATGTGATTTAGATATTGATGTGTTTTCTTGTAATTTTTTTTTTACGTATGATATAAAAATTTATCATATAAATTTAAAATTATATGCTTTGACATACAGTTTTCACTTATATAAATATATATCTCTATAGTTTAGTTATTAATACATTTATAATTTTTTCATTCTCAGTTACTTGATTTAGATATTATTATAAAAAAAGCATATTTAATCTACATAAAAATGAAATAATCACATATTCTTACGATTCAAAAATGTAAAAGACAAGATGGTAACTTTATGAAAAGAAGAAAAAAAATGGGCAAAAAGATTTGACACCAAAAATTAACAGGTGTTCTCTAAGAAATTCTAAATTATTAAATTTAGGAAGGGGCAGAATATATTTATCACCAAAAAAGTTTATCACCTTTACAACCAATTTAATCACTGTGAATTTTTGTTAATCTAACGATTATAATTTATTAAAAATTAATAATTAATTAATAAATACGATCCAATAATTTTTAATAAAGTATAACCATTACATTAACAGAAATCAACAATAATTAAGTCAGTCATAAAGATTATAAATTTTTTTAGTGATTGTATATCTTTCCGATTTATGAATGGACGAATAAGAAGGTATAATTATTTTTGTTTGTACAAATAAAATAACACATGGCTCTAATTTGTTATTGTTAATCTAACGGCTAACGCGGTATCCATTATGGAATGGTGTACGAATACGTAAACGTCTGTTTCAGTCATCAAAGTCCATTTTCAGACACACGACCAAAACCTGAGTGAAAACTTGAACGGGGAGAAGAAGCAGGTACAGTTGCAGCACCTCACAACCGCCACCGTTATCGTTACCGTCACCGTTGTGATATCCTACATTCTATTTGATTTGATGGGCCACCGCAGCAGTAGACCCTCTTCCGAAACCCAACCAAGTTCCGACGCCGCTCCCCACCATCGTTCTCACTCCGTCCCCACTTCCAGTTCCCATTCCAGAGTGGGCCGCGTCCTCGGCCGGCCCATGGAGGACGTTCGGTCAACCTACATCTTGGGCCGCGAACTGGGCCGTGGTCAGTTCGGCGTCACCTACCTGGTCACCCACAAAGTCACCAAAGAACAATTTGCCTGTAAATCCATCGCCACACGCAAGCTCATTCACCGCGATGACTTGGACGACGTTCGCCGCGAGGTTCAGATCATGCACCACCTCACCGGCCACCGCAACATCGTCGAGCTCAAGGCAGCTTACGAGGACCGCCACTCCGTTAACCTCATCATGGAGCTCTGCGCCGGCGGCGAGCTCTTCGACAGGATCATAGCCAAGGGCCATTACTCCGAGCGTGCCGCCGCCGATTTGTGTCGCCAGATCGTGACCGTGGTGCATAATTGTCACACCATGGGAGTGATGCATAGGGATTTGAAGCCTGAGAATTTCTTGTTCCTCAGCAAGGACGAGAATTCGCCTCTTAAGGCAACGGATTTTGGTCTCTCCGTGTTTTTCAAGCTTGGTTAGTGTGTTTCTTCACTGAATTGCATTTTTTAGGCACACTAGTACTTGCTGTGATGATTCTGAACAATTTTGTGTGCAGGAGATGAATTTAAAGATCTTGTTGGGAGTGCCTATTATGTTGCTCCTGAGGTGCTGCGTAGAAGTTATGGACCCCAAGCTGATATTTGGAGTGCCGGAGTTATATTGTACATTCTGCTCTCTGGTGTCCCTCCCTTCTGGGCAGGTAAAGCTCCTTCCTTTTTTAAGCAATCCGGGCCTCAGTTTTACTTTTTATTGAATACTGATGCATTTAGGATGTTAAATGGTTCAAGATTTGTTTAGGTGTTCAGCTTTCTGCTTGATTTTGAGCTTCAATTCAATTCAGATGTGCTTTAATATGGATTTATTTTTTATCCATTATTTGATACCTTACCTTGACAACATACTAGTATACCTCTGCGATCTTTCTCATACTTTTTTTCTTATCCTTTATATGAAGAAAATGAAAAGGGTATCTTTGATGCTATTCTTCTTGGATATGTTGATTTTGCATCAAATCCTTGGCCTTCGATATCGAGTAGTGCTAAAGATCTGGTCAGGAAGATGTTACGAGCTGACCCTAATGAACGGCTTTCAGCAGTTGAAGTCCTTGGTAAGTTTAACTCTTCTTGTAAAGGCAAATTAATTTGTTTTATGTCAAAAGTGGTTTCTATTTTTTTTCAAAAAAAAAATCATGTCAGACTCTTAAGGATCGGCCAGGCATTGTTTACAAAATAAATCTCTTACCATATCTTGGAGAGATCTGATCTGTAGGATGGGTAACAAAGTGACAGAGAGGCTGTAATAACAGGCAAAAAATAGGATATTAATTTTGAAAGAAGCAGTCACTACTCACTCGATTGATCCATTTTTTTTAAGGAATTCAATAGGATAAAGAGGAGAATGGAATTTTATTTTCACGGCTAAATATATTTCTACAACTTCAATCCATCCTCCCAATAAAAAGAAGAGGTAGGTCAGGATACGATGTCTGCCATCTCTTCTTTATTGTAGAAGTCACGGAAGATGTGTTACTATTTCCTGAACAAAAACATTGTTTCTGCAAATTACTCAACTTTAGGTTTTCTCTCTGCCTCATGTATAATGTGCTCTTGTTTTGTTGTTGCTCACCACAAATACTTACAAGATAACTTTTAACTTATTTCATTTTGGATTTTATCTGAAGAATGGTACCCATGAATTTATTTTGTGATTAATTTTTTGCTTTGAAAGTGACTGCTGGTCTTTTGTTTTTTAATTTTTGTATTCTTATGATTGGGTTATGCTACTTGGTTAATTGGCTTGCTCAAGGTACATGATAATGATAATATGTTTATTATACATATTCATGCATGCATATAATTGCATGCTTTCTCTTGTCCTCTTCTCTTCTCGCTTTTCTTTGGCATGGAGCATTTGAGCTGTAACTATCTTGGCAATTTGCTTATTTGAGTCAATCAGTCATTATAAAATGTTATCATTATCGTCCAGATCATCCTTGGATGAGAGAAGATGGAGCATCAGATAAGCCTCTTGATATTGCTGTTTTAACTAGAATGAAACAATTCAGGGCAATGAACAAGCTAAAGAAAGTAGCTCTGAAGGTAAATAATCTTTCATCATCAATTTATTGTTCTGAATTCTGATCATGACAAGCTTTTGATAAAATATCTAGAATTATCATTGTAAAGCCTTGAGGACTGAAAATGGTGTATATTAATCGAAAAATCCGAATAAATGAGTAATAAGTAAATAAATAGGGAGAAGGAATTCATAAATGGAGTAGATCAAAAGATTATATATAAAAATTCTTTTATTTGTTACAGGTTATTGCTGAAAATCTTTCTGAAGAAGAAATCATTGGCTTGAAGGAAATGTTCAAATCCATGGACACAGATAATAGTGGAACAATCACTTTTGAAGAGTTGAAAGCTGGCCTCCCCAAACTGGGTACTAAGATCTCTGAGTCTGAAGTAAGGCAGTTGATGGAAGCGGTAAGATTTCTTTTGGTGGTACATTTAGATGATCATTGTGATTACAAGTTTAACACTTCTCTTGATTTCAATGTTGGTTTTTCTACACTATTATAAGTTTATAACATACTCTGGTTCTCAGGCTGATGTAGACGGAAATGGAACCATTGATTATATTGAGTTTATAACAGCTACCATGCACATGAATAGAATGGAAAAAGAGGACCACCTATATAAAGCTTTTGAATATTTTGACAAGGATAAAAGCGGGTAATCTCTTTTTTCAGATCAGAATCCTCTCATTATTTACTAACATGACAGGGGCATGCTATGAGAGAGAGAGAGACACAAAATTAAAATAAATGAACCCTACATAAATAATGGTGGATTCTACTCTAATTGCTTTTGTGTCTATCTTTCTCGTAACATCAACATGACCTTCTCATGTTAGTGAGTAACATAGAATATCCTGATCTTTTTTATTTTTCATTCATAATTTTTAGTTTAACAGGGTTACCACTTTAGATGTGGAATCATATGTTGGTTTCATTTTCTTGCTTCTGTTTTCATAGGTACATAACAATGGAAGAGTTGGAAACTGCCCTCAGAAAGTATAATATGGGTGATGAGAAAACAATAAAGGAGATCATTGCCGAAGTTGATACAGACAATGTATGCTGATTTTTATTTTTTTTCTCTGTCTCACGGGTCACATCCTTGTTCTCATTGGTAGTTTAGTTTTCCTAGGGTGAAATTATAGGCGATTGTATATCCTTGTTTAATTATCCGTTGCATACATATGTTAATTTCCAAATTTCTTGCAGGACGGAAGAATTAACTATGATGAGTTTGTAGCCATGATGAGGAATGCAACCCAGACTTGGTAACCAATAGACGTCGCTAATAATTCAGTCGATCATGAATTGCTTGTTTTACGGAACAGTGACCAAAGTGTAACTGTTGGCCAAAGTGATCATGAATATGCCACGTGATATTTTGACAAATATTACTGTTGGCGTGGCAGTCTGGTAATTTTTTTTGCCAACAGTGACAAAATGATCACTGTTCCTTGTTTTACTGGGTTCGGAGGCAGGAGGCACGAGCCTAAGCCTTTACACGTTTTACCAATACGGATTGTGCTGCATTTAGCACTCTTTATTCACCTGTTGTAAGAAATGTGTCTTTCTAACGAAAATATTGTATATCTGTTTATTAAAATGAGAAGATCCGTAAACGGTGCATGTGGATATGTCATCCTTACCTTGAATTTGTAATTTTTAATTGATGGTCATGTAAAGTTAATTAAATTTTAATATGATGCCTTTAGCTAATAACCTTTCATCTTTTATATTATATGTTTGATCTGGTTTGATTCACATAAATTTTTTGGTTCCTCCTTTGTATAAACTTAACAATTCATGTAATATTTTTTTACAATGAATAACAATATAGTTTCTATTATTGTAAGACTAATGGAACTAATTGCGAACAAACATAATACGAAACGCAGAATAACATATACCGACACATGTGTATGTTCTATGAAATATGGGGTAATATGAGAATATTTCAAGTATGGAGGAGATACGAATCTACGGTGACGTAGGAAAATATTAAAATAAAAAAAATCTCATTAATATATATCTTGATCATTGAAATCCTAATAGAAGCTACTTGATATTTTTGTGGTGGGAAAAGACATTAATCTGTCTCTGACCCGCCAGATTTTTGATCTAGTAAGAAAAAGATGAAGCCTGAATCACGTCAGCCAATATTCAAAGCCAACCAACATAATATCTTTCAACTTTCGCAGCATGATAAATTTGATCAGATCAAGTTAGTATTTATGAAGAGAAAAGTATAAAGTCATTTTCGGTAAACGACGTGGTGTTAAAGTTATAAAATTAAATAATTATAGTAATAAAAATAAATATAACTTTGTGATATATTAGAATTACAAAAATATTTTGATTTCTCCATGAAAATGACATCGTTTTCTCTTCTTCTATTATCCAAACCCTAAATCCGTTATCCCTTCAATTTTTATTTTCACAAAATTGTTGTGCTTCTATTGACACAACAAGTACCGTTGCTCTCCCTTCTCCAATCTCCATATTGCTCTCATTTTGTGCCGTCCACCGTTAACGTATAGCATAATTTACCGTAGCACCACTACTTTGGCCATCCAGAGCTCAGATAGAGAATTTAGAATATACAAACGACGCCAATATGACAGGGCAATGCTAATGCACCCGACTAATATGATAATTTGTTTTTTAAAAAAAAAAATTAATTATCGTGTATTTTAAATTAATAAATTAAAAATATAATATAAAATTATTGATGTGGTCTTGATGGACTTTTTGACTCTTTTATCCCTTATTAATTAAAAAATAACTATTTTATCCCTGTTTCAAAACTATACACCTGTTTGTCCCTATTTAATCGATTACAAAAAGAAATCTAATCGATTAAGTGTCGAAAAATATTGTAATCGATTACTGAATTTGTTTTAATCGATTAACAATTTGAGGGAATTCCCAAACGAAAACACAGGAACGCACCAAAGCCAACTCATTCTTTTAGCTGTTGAAGCGGTGCTCGAAATCAAGTCGCTATCAGAGGCGATGGAGCAAATTTCGTATGGAGGGTCAGCAAGGGCAACCTTTGAAAGAAAAGAAAGAGAACAAAAAAGAAACCAGAAATGAAAGGATTTTGAATTTTTTTTTTTTTTTCTGAATCAGAACTTTGCAACTGTATCTCTTCCCTCAGGCTTATTATTGTGTGCATATTCTCATTTAAATCATATAATAGACAAGCAATACATGTCAGCGATAATGGTTATGAAATTTCCAATTGGTTTTTTTGTTCTGATTTTCATTAAGTTACATAACTTGATTTCTGCATCCAAAGGAGATTATGGGAATCTCAAAAGGTTGCTGAAGACACTCTATCATTCAAGGAATTACTATTTGATTCATATAGATTATGGGCTCTAGAGGCAGAACAAAAGGATGTGGTTGAATATGTGGCTAGTGACCCTGTTTATGCTCAAGTTGGGAATGTTTGGGTTGTGGGGAAGCGTAATTTGGTCACTTATAGAGGACCAACCATGCTTGCTACCACTCTTCATGCTATGGCAATTCTTCTGAGGACCTGCCACTGGGATTGGTTTATTGATCTTAAGTGCATCTGATTATCCCTTAATTACACAATATGGTATGGTGAGTGGCCTTAAATGCTAGATATCAATTGAATAATCACTATGCATTTTTTATTTGAAGAAAACATTGTTTACTTGTTTTGGAGTTACTCTTTCTTTTATTGGGTCCGTGAAATAATCTTACCAGTGGCGATTACATGTTAATGAAAAATAACTTAATGAAAATCAGAACAAAAAAACCAATTGGAAATTTCATAACCATTATCGCTGACATGTATTGCTTGTCTATTATATGATTTAAATGAGAATATGCACACAATAATAAGCCTGAGGGAAGAGATACAGTTGCAAAGTTCTGATTCAGAAAAAAAAAAAAATTCAAAATCCTTTCATTTCTGGTTTCTTTTTTGTTCTCTTTCTTTTCTTTCAAAGGTTGCCCTTGCTGACCCTCCACACGAAATTTGCTCCATCGCCTCTGATAGCGACTTGATTTCGAGCACCGCTTCAACAACTAAAAGAATGAGTTGGCTTTGGTGCGTTCCTGTGTTTTCGTTTGGGAATTCCCTCAAATTGTTAATCGATTAAAACAAATTCAGCAATCGATTATAATATTTTTCGACACTTAATCGATTAGATTTCTTTTGTAATTGATTAAAGAGGGATAGATAAGTGTATAATTTTGAAACAGGGACAAAATAATTATTTTTTAATTAATAAGGGATAAAAGGATAAAAAAGCCGGTCAAGACCTACTTTATTGTTTGTGAAACAGTTTGTCCCATGCATTGGGTATATTCTACGAGGGGAAATTCAGTGGAAGAGATACATTAAAATTAGAAGCTCAAGAAGTAACATCTGAGGTTTGCACTGCTTGCCATGTTTGTGCATTAAGTTGAGAATAATACCTACCAGGTACTAATATAGTAATATGATATGTATGTCTTTTTCTCTCTTTTTGAACCATCCTGCATGAAGCAGAAAGAGGAACGAGCTGTTGTGAAACCAAAAGCAAAGTCAGAAAATCCTGCTACTGCTAATATTGAAAAGAAGTTTTTGTATATTGATATTGAATAAATTACATGAGTGAGTATTTATACAAGAAAGAATCGCTAAGAATGACTAAGCGATGACTAATCAATCCTATCACAATCCTAATCACAATCAATTCTAATCAATCACAATTAATCCTAATCAATCATAATCAATCCTAATCAATCATAATCAATCCTAATTAATAGGAAATAAAAACGGAAACATGTTTGAATTCTAATTTTCTACACTCCCCCTCAAGTTGGGAGGTAAATATTGATCATTCCCAACTTGCCAATCAAGTCTTCGAATGCTGGACGGTGTAGGCCCTTGGTAAGGACATCTGCCGTTTGCTCTTTGGTTGGAACATATATCAAATGCACACTTCCATCATCTAATTTTTCTTTGATGAAGTGACGATCAACTTCCACGTGCTTTCTTCGATCATGATGCACAGGATTTTGAGCAATGCTAACAGCTGCCTTGTTGTCACAATATAGTTTTATTGGTAGGGAATATGAAATCTTCAACTCTTGAAGAAGTCTTCTCAACCAGATTCCTTCACAAACTCCATGAGCTAAAGCTCGAAATTCTGCTTCAGCACTACTTCTTGCAACCACTGTTTGCTTTTTGCTTCTCCAAGTAACAAGATTTCCCCACACATAGGTGCAATAGCCTGAGGTAGATCTTCTGTCTACTGATGAGCCTGCCCAATCTGCATCAGTGTAGATTTCAATTGTCCTTTTATACCCCTTTTTAAAGAATAATCCTCTTCCTGGAGTATTCTTGAGGTATCTAAGCACCCTATAGACTGCACTAAGATGCTTCTCCTTGGGTGAGTGCATGAATTGACTAATCATACTCACCGCAAAGGCAATGTCAGGACGCGTATGAGATAAGTAGATTAGTTTACCAACCAATCGCTGATATTGTTCTTTATCCACCTCATTCCCATCTTCAATACCTAACTTGGTATTAGGTTCCACAGGTGTCTCAGCAGGTTTACACCCTAACATTCCTGTTTCCAACAAAAGATCTAGAACATATTTCTTTTGTGTTAGAGTGATGCCTGTTTTGCTCCTAGCAACTTCCATACCAAGGAAATATTTGAGAGTGCCAAGGTCTTTGAGTTCAAATTGAGCTGCTAGAAATTTCTTCAAGGTGTTCAATTCCTCAATATCATCACCTGTAAGAATTATATCATCTACATATACAATAAGAATAGCAATTTTACCATCCTTAGAGTGTTTGTGGAAGAGAGTATGATCAGTTTGTGCTTGAATGAAGCCTCTTCTTTTGACTGCTTGTGTGAATTTGTCGAACCATTCTCTGGGAGACTGTTTCAATCCATATAGAGACTTTTTTAGTTTACACACTGATTCATTTCCCCTTTCAAAACCAGGTGGAGGATCCATATAGACTTCTTCATGTAAGTCACCATTTAGGAATGCATTCTTCACATCTAACTGTTGCAGAGGCCAATCTAGATTGGCAGCAAGAGATAAGAGAACTCGGATGGTATTGACTTTAGCAACCGGAGCAAAAGTCTCATGATAATCTATCCCATGAGTCTGAGTGAAACCCTTTGCAACCAATCTTGCCTTGTATCTGTTGATGCTATTATCTGCATTGAATTTTATTGTAAACACCCATTTGCATCCTACTGCCTTTTTTCCTTTGGGTAGGGTCACTATCTTCCAAGTTCCATTTCTTTCTAAAGCATTCATTTCTTCAAAGACAGCATCCCTCCATTTTTTATCATTGAGAGCCTCATGTATATTTCTCGGTATCTTTGTACTATCCAACATAGTATTGAAAGCACGAAACCCTGGGGACAACTTTCCATATGAAATATGATTAGAAATAGGATGAGTAGTACAAGATCGAGTACCTTTTCTGAGAGCAATGGGCAAGTGTAGATCATTTTCACCATGACACTCAAGTATTGGGGTGCTGGAACTAGAACATGGTTCAGAATCCTGGCAGTGTAGAGGCTCTGGGTTATTCACACTTTGAGGAGGCTTTCGCCAGCTATAAACTTGTCCCCATTTTGAGGAGGCTCCTGATGGTGAGGATTCTGTAGCTCCCCCTGTTTCCAAAAGTAGAGGTAATACTGTGGCATTA